CTGTCACTCACCCTTTCAAAGAGTTGATTCCCCTCCTCTTTGTAGGCTCCCTTTATGTACTGAAAGGCTGAAGCCTCTGGTAAGCTACACCCAGTGCCTTTTTATTCCCATCACTTAAAAATCATCTTTTCCCTAACATGAAGAAGTCCATGAATTGGAAGAGATCCAGAGACAGAAAAAGGAGACGAAAGGACTATGGCTCCAGTGACAGAATGGGGTTTTGTTGAGAATATTCCCTATCTTTTATGTAGGATGGTAACCACAAATTCTGAATGGAGACAGCACGAGTACACCAAGTGTGAAGGGACTACTGTCACTTTTACTGCTCTGCTGATTCATGATTTAAACAAACAAATACGATGCCTTGGACAAACAGTCACTTGCCTTAGTGAAAGCTTTAATAGCACGATTAAGTAAGGCCTCCTCCACATCAGCTGGTAGCGTTTGCAAGTTCACCACACAGTGTAAAATACAAAGGATAGTCTGACACTGTTCCTGGTGGATGAAAGGAACAGCAGCTCATTAGAAGAAATCTTTTCATGAAAAACACTTTCAGTTTTTGTTTATTGCTGCTTAAATATCAGACTGTGCCTTCCTGTATTGAAACCTTCAGGTGTAGGAGGTGAGAGAATTTTCACAAGCTTAAAGAGCTTTTCTATGTAACTGTTACAGTCACAATGGGAGAAAATCTTCTCTTGTGTGTCTCAAACTGCTCTGGAAATTTCTGGGTGATCAGGCATATCCCCAGTTTGATTTTTAAAAGAGATTGAAGGTGCCTTTTGAATGTTTAATTTCCATGTTTAAAGGTCACGAGTAGAGTAACAAAACATGCTCAAACAATGCATTGACATATAAAACATCTACCTTTTTCAGTAAGTTAAGTGCATCTTGTGCTTCTACGGAATTTTTTGCCAGCATGTCAATATCATCTTTGGATATAATAGGCTCTTTCAGTTGCTCTATCCAGGACCACATCAAGCTACAGAGGATGAAAGGATCTCTCTCGGTAGAGATTTTATCCCAAGCTCCATCTCGAGAATTCAGTTCTTTCTTTAAAAAAAAAAAAAAAAAAAGGAGAGGGAAGAGAGGAAAGGAAAAAGAAACTACAAATGCATCATCTTTTTACTTTTGCTGATGTTCCCTTCAATTGCAACAGTACTAGGCTGCTTACCTACCCATTCCAACATGAAAAGAAGACTTAATGGTTACAAAAAAATAACTTTTTTTTTCCGTGACATCAATGTTAATCAGCAGTAATGCAAATGGTTCTTTAAAACAGAAGGATGATGTAAATAGTGCAGCTCAGAATCTCCCTGTTATCTCTCAGAATATATAACACAGCATTGGATTCCTACTTCCTGCTGGGAGGATTTGGTTTTGAGAATAAGCAGTTAAGTTTCTACTGAATTATAGGCAGAATCCTCTGATTAGTTCAGAGGAAGCACTGATTAAAAACAACATAACTTAAAATCTGTAATACTTTTATGCTATCAGGAGCTAAGTTAAACCACGGATAACAGCACCAATTTTCATTAGTTAGTGAAATGGATGAACACTACCTGAAAAAATGTTCTAACATCCTGTTGGGTACTGAAATTTGTAGGTTCGTTTCACATATTATTGAAAGATTTGACTCCTAACTGACAAATACAATTATTTTCTCAACCAGAGCATAAATCTGTGTCCCAGTGTGCCATTTCAAAGCACATGGTGGCATTTTTGCTATTCTAAGAATTAACCTTGGTAAAATAGAATACATAATACTGAATGAAATTAAAAATTACCTGCCACATTTCTACCTTCTGCTTCACTTCATCCTCTTCCAGAAATTCATTTATATTTGCAAGTGCTTTTGCTGCTAAAACTCTTCGAGCTTCCAAACTTAATTCTGACTGCAGAACAATGTGTGGAATTGCCTCTGACGGATCTTTGCTACCTTGGCTTTCACATCCAATGGAAAAGTTCACTTTAGAAGAAGAAGAAGAATCAGAGTCCTCAGAGACGTAGACTCTTCTGCTGTACACACGAGTCTCATGTTCCTTCCTATGGCCAACCTCATTGGTGAAATTATGCCTTGGTGTTCCAGGCTCTGTGGCATAGTGGAGAGATGCTAGACCTGAAGAAAAAGTTCTGCTGCGTTGTACTTCTTTGGTAGAGTTCCTTCTCTGATAAAGTAAAGATCCATCTTTCTGTCCATCCAAATTAATCTTAGTCTGACTCCAGATTGTACACGTATTACGCACTAATGCTTCTTTGTTTAAATCCAGCTGTGGCTTTTGTTCGTCTGTGGCAGAACTCTCCTCACCACTGTTCTGCTTAAGTTTGTTGCACAGTAATATCTGAGCAGGTACCGTCCATGCTGTTTCTCCTTGCTCTAGGAGGAACTCAGTTCTCCTTAAGTCTGAGTCACTGTAGCTTAGACGCCTCCTCACGTGAGACAGAGGCTGAAGGCATTCGACGTTCCTCCTTTTCCAAAGAGGATCACATTCATGTGCAAGGGAGAATAGAGAATCCTGTGTGTCACAAGTGGCCGAGTGGGTGTGCGAGGAGTCCGACGTGTCACTGTCCTGCCTGGCAAGGTCTCCATCCAGCTGTGTCGACACCAGCTGGGAGACAGTCTTTTCAATTTCAGCTGAGAGATCTGCTATGTCTAAGAGTTCTGCCTCTACCACTTGTCTGTTTTCAGCCAAGTCTAGCAGCAGCTTGCACACTAGGTGAATGAGTTTTGGCACGTGTTTGAGGTGCCTGCTCTCGTAACCATGGAGCAGGTGTCTCTGGCGGGTCAGGTACTGGGACAGCGTCACCCTGTGTGCCTTGGGCTCACAGCAAGCAAAGACATTTCTGAGAGGAATCAAAAACTGAGTGAATTCTCTGATGCACAGTAATTGCCCTCTGGTCTGAATAGAATTAGGCCTTTTTGCTCTGACAAAAAGAATGGCTTGATCAGCAGTCATTCTTGTTGCAAAAACTAAGTAGCAAGCTACTAGAACACCTGGAACACAGAAACATAACAATTAGTTCAAGAATTTTCAAACTAAAACAATTATTCAGAAGAACTATGGGATGAAAATGAATATAGGTGAAGATACAAGCATTGTGCCCACTATAGTATGATGCTGTGGGGTTAGTTGCTTTTGTTGGATCACAAGACAGTAAATCCATTCTCACTGCACTTTCAGTGAGAGCAGCGGAGGCTCCAAAGGAAACTGTCCCATTGAGTGCAGCACGGAGATTTAAATTATGAATAATTTATGAACAGAGAGTGTTTTGCATCTTCAGAAAGGCAGTTCTGGTATTGTGCAGCAGAACAACATACCTGTGCGTCCAAGTCCCGCGTGACAGTGAACAGCCACTCTGCCTTCCTGCAGCGCAAAAGCCATGACTTTTACCATATCAAGTATAGTAGTAAGAGATGCCACTCCATAATCCTTCCATCCAAAATTATAAAAATAAACTAAAATAAAAAGAGAATGAGTTATTTGCTTTACTGAAAGTGAAGTTTTCGGTACTATATGCAGAGGAGAGATGACTCATAATAAATTATAGTAAGAAAATTGTATAAGGATTCTTGGGGGAATCTGACTACATACTGTTTACAAGAGATTATTTTCCTATTTCAGAGTACTCTTGCTACTGCAATTTGATAAATGCATGAAGCTAGCACCAGATTGTCAATCTCGAGTTCAGCTGGAATACAAAAAATTTAACAAAACTGAATGATTCATACAAAAATTACTGAGCTATCTAGAAGTAAAGCATCATTTTTTCCTTTTAGAAATTAAAGCACTACTTCAGTCAAAAGCTTTTTCTTATACAGAGGCGCATTTACGCATGTCATCGCATGAAAACACAAAAAATCCTGTCATTACAAATGGCTTCTAATGAAATGTACCAGAATTTGAAACACCATTAATGTATCAGATATTTGGGAACTGAGAAGAAAAAAATTAACCAGCTGTTGTCCCTTCTTTCTTCTAAGTCGTGGATAATGTGTTATTCACCCTGGATTATAAATGCCAAGCTTTATCACAGAATCATGGAATGGCCTGGGTTGAAAAGGACCTCAATGATCATCTAGTTCCAACCCCTCTGCCATGGGCAGGTTCACCAACCATTAGACCAGGCTGCCCAGAGCCACATCCAGCCTGGCCTTGATGCTTACACCCTAACTAGTGCAACATTTCTTACATAGCTATTTAAGACATGCAAATTCAAGTAAAAATATCTGGAGCTGAAATGAATAATGAATGAGGCCCAGCAGCAGGAGTGCACGTACTGCCAGCCTCCATGAATGCCTCAGGAAGGTAGGTGAAGCCACTTTCTTGCTCCAGTGGATTCCCACAGCTCGCGTGCTCCCCAGGACGCTGCAGGTTAATTATGGTTTTTATGCCACATCTAAGGAAGGAAGAGATGAAATACATGTTTATTTCTAGTGGAGAATAAGGTCCTTCACCAACAATCCAAATATAGGTTGAAAGAGAAAACAGACTGGGAATTCTATTAGTAATACGTATAATAAATAATGGGCAAATTTTCTTACCTTTCAAACTGTTCAATGATGTTGTACTTTTCAATTAATTCTGTCGAGGGTCGAGCCATAGCCAGTATGTTATCTGTTATCCTGAGGAATTAAAAAATAATAATATTTACTATTTTTACATTAGTAAGGAGAATAATTATGTTAATTCCTGGGAATTAATTTGCCAAGATAAGGCTGCTGTGTTATTTTCATAATGACAGACATGCTGCTGATGTACTAGAAATTCTTTTTAAAAAAACTCTTATCATACAGGGTTAGTGATGAATCCTGTTAAGTAGATACAGATATTACACATCAAAAAACCTTTACTGGAACTGTTTGAATGCCAGTCCAATTAACACAGTAAAAAATTCCTTTGAATAGAAATCTGAGCTGCTCCCTGTTTGGCCCTGTAAGGCTTTTATGCTTCCACACAGCATTCACTGTTAGAAGATCAGTAAGAATGTGAAGGTGTGCTTCACGTCAGTATTGCCGTATATGAATTCAAACATATTTCATCTCCAATAAATGGTTTTACTTCATTTGAAATTCCATTACAAACACATTTAACTCCTTTGCATTTTAAATCTCAGTGAAAACTGTCTGTAGTGCAGGATATTTGTATTAGAATTCATGTCAGTTTACTTCGACTTCTCTTTTAATATATATAAAGGCTCCAGTTACATTAAATACTCCAGTGACAGTAAATGCTGCATACTACCAAGAAGAGTAGAGCCCTTTAATAGCTTGCTCCTGATCACTCCATCGAGCCGGATTCTCATACTTGCACGCACGACCACCGCATGCCATCGAGCACTGCATGTGCCCAGGGATGACGTGGCGAAGGCGCTCCCCCACTTTTGTGTATTTTGCTGTTGGCCGCCTTGAACTTCCTATAACAGAGGCAAAAACCCCTTTATTAAGAGCCTCATGAATTCATGTCCACCCTACAAGTATTTGCTCAACCTTAAATGGTAAAGTTACAAAGAGCATAAATATACAGTATATGTTTTTCAAGCCAGACTCTAAGGATTCTGAGGAAAAAAACCATTTGCTTGCATTACTAAAGCTGGTGTTTGTCACAGCAAATGTGTTCTTTTCCTGATGGAGCTATTGGCGTGCAGTACCCCGTGCAGGGGAGCAACTGACAGTCACCTGAAATCTGAAAGAGCCACATACATGTGGCAGGTGTATGAACGCATGCTTCTATTTTATGTTACAGTGAAAAGCATGCATTAATCCTCAGATAAAGAACAGATGAACAAAATATAAAACACAGGAAAAAAAAAAATACTATTTTATGCATTTATATATAAAATACGGTCAACAGAACAGAAGTGTATGAATTTATTCACAGAGTCAACAACAACAACAGAACTGCCAACAGTCTTAATGAGAACTACTTTACTTTTTTTCTCAGGAAAAGTTGCATCCAGCTCCTCGGGGCTCAGCGACGATATCGCCACCATCACCCGGTGCGTCGATGATGAGAGAACCTCTACAACTGAGCTCCGGCGCCTCTGGATGATGCGAAGAAGGGGATCGGAGGAAGAATGCCTCCGACCCTGGAAAAAGTGGCTAAAAATACTCACTGCTGAGCGCCGTCGGGGTGAGCCCTGCATGATGACCAGCCCCAGCGACAGCTGAGCAGGCACGGGTCTGAAAGCCAAGTTGCTCAGCGCTGAAGTTGCAGCGAGATGCGCATCCCTCCGTCTGCTGGAGCAGCTAGTCAGCATGGGCTGAGCTGTCTCCATAGTGACAAACAATGAGGGCTCTGCTGCCAGCCAGCCCCGTGGCAGTGACATTCTATATGAATTGATTCTGTTTGGGACAAAGTGTTCCGCAGCTGATGAAAATAGTTGCATTTCAAGTAGATAATTTTGAAAATGGACTGGGAACAACCAAAACATTTTTCTATAAACAATGTGAGTATTTTAGTTAGTTGTAAATAACATACATTCAGAACTCAGTGAGACACAAAATAGTATATTCAAGAGAACAATCAAAATGTATTTGGAGGCTCTGCTTCCTGAGAAATCTGTAAGTACATTATACACCCCCACCTCCTGGTTTTACATTCCACAACCACCTCTCTCCCTCCGCTGAGCTGCTGCAAAATGCATCATTAGCTCTGTAATAATTGGGATTAGTGTGCTCCTACTGAAATGGCTCATTACGCGATGAATTGTAGACTGTTCACTCTGGACCATTCATATCTTCTAACAAACACAATTTGTTACTCAAAACAAAAGGCTTATTTTTTTTCAGGGCACAGCTCTTTTATTAACCAGAGCTGTTAGCCCTACGGAGTGAGATAAAGCAGATTATGGGGAGGAGAAGATGCATCAGTTGAGTGCTTCAGGCTTTTGAAGGTAGATATTAGGTGGCAAATTGCCTCCCACTTTGCTGCCAGTGTGCTAAGAAAGAGAATGAGCTGGCCAGAAAGATTACTGCGTTCTCAAAAGCACAACATTCTCAAGCAACTTATGTGGAGAACAGATTACAGAAATGTGGCTGTGTTTTTTTTTTAAAGTCGTCCAATTGTCTGAGTGTTAAAGGGGGAGAGAGAGCAGGGAGATGAGGAAAACTCACCATAGCTTTGGTCAATTAACAAAATCCCACTGTGTTTTCCCTAGGATGTATACTTCAGTCTGATTTTTCCTTTTGTGTTATGGAAACAGTAATCCTTAAAGAGGAATTGTGTATGAGAAGGCTCTTTTTTGATACAAAATCTTGAGGCAAAAATCTGCTGTTTCTTCCAGGTATTGAACAGGGAGTGAGTGACTGAATATTGAACACTCTTAAGACACAGTAAGGATTTCTGTAGAAACGAGGCATCTGGAAACATCTGTGGTGATGTCGTATGTGAAAAGGAGAATGTTAAAACTCAAAGATCTGACTATCCTAATGAAGCCGATATAAGAAGATGGGGAAATACTTAAAAATGCTTTTATTCATGGCATCAGGTTGAAGAGAAGGGAAGGAGATGAAAAAGGTTCTTCAAGTGCTGCCTACGTCCAGCAAACAAACAAACAAAAAATGCTTTTGAGTTAATTCCATTCTTTCTCACATTTAATTCTTAACTCTTTTTCTTCCCAGATTTTTTTCTCCTGCATATATCAAGTGATAATGGAGCCAGAGATGGGCAAGTGAAAATGCTACATACCATTATTTTTCCACTGAATCTAGCATGATTTGCAAGTACTCACCCAGAAACTTTCAATATTGGAGAGGGTTTTTTTGTTGAAGCTTTTTTGTGCCTTCAGAGAGCTAGGCAGCTTCTGAACATGGAACCATTTCTTTAAGCAAGAGACTTGGCAAATTGAAAGTTACTGAAAAGTTTGACATCTTAACACATCGTGGCAATGAGAAGTCACACAGTTTTTGTTATAGACATTTTATGCTTAAAATTTGGGAATAATGTCCATTTTTCCCCGGTGGAAAATTGCTTCTTTTTCAGAATTTATTTAAGCTGTTTATATGAATAGCATAAGTGAGCAAATCATTACCTGAACTCATATTTGCAAGATACACACTGCTCTCTAGCAACGAAGAGTATGGTAGTTCATTTTGCAGCAAAACTCCTGCAGCCATTGCAGTACCTGTGGAAACAGAAATGTGTTTGCTGTCACTCTACAAGCTTGAAAATGCAAAACAAAGCTGAATTAAAGCTCAGTACCTGGCACCTGGTTACAAAGCCATCCAAGGGTTAAGATCTGGGCATTCAGGTATAGGCCATTATTTTCTTTGTGGTGTGCAATATTAAAATTACCTGTTCTGCTATCTGTCCTAGCAATTAGAAGTCACCGGTGTATTTCCAGCTCCAGAGTGTGGCTGATGATGTACCTTTCAGTTGTGTTTTATATGCACAGGAGCCACTCACCTAGAAACCTTCACAGCCATCTCAATTTTCTCAAATTCTTAAAAGAAAACATACAACTACAAATGCTGAACTGGAAGCTTCCAAGAGGCAGTTCCAGCAAAACCAGTGATGACAGCACTATTTCCAGATCGTATCATTCATAGTTTTAGTCCAAACAGACTATGTGTAAGGTACGTGCCTTCTCTGCTCTCTTTCCTCCATTCAGTTTTAGTAAGCTGGCAAGTCTGAAATCACATATATGAAGATTCTCCTTTAATAAGAAAACAGAACACAAGACTGTCTAAGCAGAAAGCATGTTTTCCTGTAATACAAAGCAAGTTGAAGAGATTGTATCTGAAAAACAGATAATACAAGGAAAGCTGTCAGTGTGAACTTATTAATCAGTCACTGTGATGTTCAACTAAAACAACTTCATGGCTCCTGAGTGCACAACCTTACTTCTCTTATCTCAACAGTAAAACAGTTGCAAATACAAACAAATACTAAAAAAAGCACGTCCATGCTGTGATTATTGAAATTCTTCTAAATAAACCTTCTGTCCCAAATTCTGCAAAAACAATACTAAGGTTCAGTGCCACAGTGTTCTAAGAGACAGGTTTACTACAATAATAATAACGAGGATTATTACGTGGTAAACAGTCCAGTGCTGTGTGGAGGTATCAACTGTTTGTCATTCATCGTGCATGAATATTAACTATATAACATGACATATTAACTAGAATTCTGACTAATTGCTTCAGGTAAGTAATTGAATCAATTCACATGACATTTCATTTATAGATATTATATTATCTAGCACATACTTGAATTGAAACTATTATTCTATAGCAGTGTTTATGGACTTTATTCCACATCAGTCACCGAGTACAGCTCTGTCCCTTACAGATGCTTATGGTGGGAACAGCATACACGTACACATGAGTAACCCGTTAATACTTGCTGCATCAGTGGCCTCAAAGAGATGAGAATTGCATTCGTCTGTGAAAGCCAGGGGGTCTTTTGAAAGTTCAGTGATGCTAAGCAAGACATTCCTTATGTAAATATGTATATTGTGAAGAATGTTCATTAAGATAGTCTTAATGTAGAATAGACACACATTTTCTACTCAGCTGCTTGACCATCTGACTGCACTATACAAGTCCATCCCATAATAAACAGGCAGGAATACATGTTTGTACTTGCATTCAGAGAAGCTCTGGTATCTCTGTGTTTTTTTTTTTCCAGTGGCTTTTGAAATCAGTAAGGGATGGTTTTCACAGTCAGAGGAAACTGCAGCTCAAGAAATCACTATTTTATCCCCAGAAATTCCTTTTAGGGTTAATACAGTTGAACTGCCAAAAAAAAAAAAAAAAAAAAAAAAGTTTCTATTTCTCAGAAACTTTTCTCAAAAAATCTTGATAGCTTCTCCGGGCAGCATACAAGCATTTGAAGAAGCCAGGTCTCATCACACAGCAGGAGCACCAGCAGTCACAGCACTCTGACACCAAAGGGAAAAAGCTGTGTTTTGAGGTAGTAAGTACTAATTTGGTCTTGGTGTTACTGCAGAGGTGCATTACATTCCTGCACTGATAAAGAGAGTGTTGAGAGCTAGAATAGTGTTGAGGTAAAAGGAACAACTCCTGTTTTTCCAATGTACTGCATATTCTTAGTTTTAAAAAGCTCCTCTTCAGCATTTTGTTCATCAGTTAGCACCTGATGGACGCTAGAGAAAATCAAGCCTCAGATGTTATTCTAGGTCATGTTCCTTATGAGCTCTCCGAGGAGCTGAGTCACGTGCCTCATGGCAGTCATGACACCACCTTAATCAGATCCGCTCAGTGCCGTGCTCTTCTATTGCCATGACAGCAAAGAGGCTGCTCTTTTAATCCTGGTATCACAACTTAAGAAATGGAACAGTGTCTTAGGTGATTGATGTTCCAGCTCTTTACCGTGGGAAGCAATGTCATGGAGCTTGCACAAACAACACAGGTAATGAAACGGGAGTAAAAATAACATCTGTGGTGCTGGCTGACTGAAACAAATGGCAGAATGCCCAGGGAAATGGGGTCTGTTGGAGCCAGGCACCAAGCACTAAGGGGATATTCCAGCAAGCCCCTCTGAGCCATGCATTCTGTACTTGCTTTGGTGTGCACTTGCTTTCTCTGTGTACCTTGGAGGGCTTTTCCCCACTTCTGTGCAAACCAGTTCCTAGCAGAAAGGATGTCTCAGATTTTGCTGCCAATTCACTTACTGCATTTGGTAACAGATGACAGCTGTCACATCCAACTTGCTGTGTCATATAATCAGAGGAAATTGCACAGGCACACTGTGCTTCCTTAGGTGAGAATAAAAGAACCCTTAGTGAAGGAACAGGTTAAGCAGCAAAAAGCCATGCAGCAAGTAGGACAAGTGAGAGATGGGGGCCTGCAACTGACTGGCGGGCAGCTGCCCAGAAAGGAGGAAAGAAAGATCACAGCAGTTACTCCACAGCCCAAAACTGGCTGAGGTGTCACTCTGCCCTGCATACAGGATGAGCACTTCCTATTATTGCAGGATCTGGAAATCAGTGTTTTCCAGTTGCTGGGCTGAATTTTTGCTTCAGATTGGACTGAGAGAAGGAAATAACGTCTGATGTTTTGACAGCCAGAAAACAAGCCCTAAAGTGCTAAGATTCCCCCTGTACCTTAGCAATTAATATGGTTGTTTAACAGATGCAGTTACTGTCTTCAGAACATGCTTTCAAACAGGAGAGTTTGCGTTCCAAACTGGAATGATTCCAGTGCAGCTGCCAGCACACAGTAATTGTCCCCGCATTTCTGGAGCTGTTTGCTAACAGTGTGGACCCATTTCTCCAGATTTGTATGGATTTGGGAACCTAGAATATGACAGCAGAGCACACATTGAAAAGATTGGTTTCATGTATTATCATGAAAAATCTTGGGTAATCTTTCCATTGTAAATACATTGTATTCATACAAGAGAGGCAAATGCTGATGCTTATGCCTGTCACATAAAATGTGGATATCACTTGTAGTATTTTCTTGCTTTTAAAGTGAGTTGTTCTCCCCCCTATAGCATTCACAGACGAGGAACAAGCATGGGCAACCTGCTAAAGGAACACAGTGCAACTGCAGGTAGGGGCCACACTAGGTGAGCACCTAAGCCCTCAGGTAACATTTACTCCATGGCCTGGTTCTGCAAGTACTTATCTTCTTGAATGGCTTTGCTCCTGGGAGCAGTCCCACAAAAGTCAAGAGGATATCTGTCTAAATATGAGATTATATGGGATAAAGTTTCATTGCCTGAATGCGAAGTTCTGAAAACAGCACTAATTAAGATGTTTAGAAGTTAAAGACCACTCAGTTAACAAAACGAAGCAAAAATATGATCACGTAAGGACTGTTTATAATTAATGGCTTGATTGTTATGAATGGTGAAACAAAATTGAAAGCGCTATCAGCAATTGGAAAAGGCAAATAAACTCACTACAGGCCAAAGGGAAGACGAGGTATTAATTTGAACACATCTTCATACAGTTCAGAGGTTTATGATTTACACAGCAGAACAGCACTGCAGCTGTTGTAGAACTGCTCTGATTTCACACAGCCAGAACTGATTTGTTACTTCCATAAGGGAGTGGTTTTTTGACCTTTAGGAAAAAAAAATTCAGCATTTGCTTTAGTTTAAGGTGAATGCCACTTAATCATTACGCATTGCATTTAAAGGACTGTAACAGCTTTCACATACAAAAGAGACAAAAGAATTTAATTCATTAGAAAGTTATGTAGGTGCTGGTCTGGTGATTCACTGTTTGCTATTAATAGCTTTTTTTACATGAATAGCAACCGAAAATGGGCAGGTCTGTCAACTGACTGGATTCACCTCATTGAGTCACGTTAGCTGTCAGTGCTAACGCAATAGTTAACAGAAGTTGTCTGAACCTACCTTGCATGGGCTGGCAACCAGTAATTACTAGTGAGAAGCACAAAGGAGATGGGGTGAAAATGAATCAAGGAACTGCTCTACAAACAACACGAGTGACTCTGATATTCCTGATCGTGAATATCATGTTTACTGTGACAGATTTTTGTATGTAAGACTACATACAAAAGAGTGAAATACCTTCAGTGCTGCTGAGTGCTACTGAAGGAATTCGGAAGTGGAGAAGATTTAAAACGGAACTCTACAAGGTAAAGGGGTTACATCTCAAATAGTCAAAAACGCAGTAAATTTAAGTGAGTCTTCAAACAGAAGTGCAGGAATTTCAGCCTAACATCTTACCTGTGAGCCTGCAAAAAGAGTGAGTGAATGCTGATCCCTTCATGGCTGCAGTACCACCCCCAGAAATGTGCTGTAGGGAAATCCCGTTTACAGGAGAGATGCTGAATTATGTTGCTGCAGTGTTTCCTGTAGTTAATTGGATTCACGGTGGTAATCTGGGAGGAGCCAATAACTATCTTTTCTTAACTTAAGACTGTATGAGGAATGCCTTGCGGGCTATGCAGATAATCATCTCATGAACTGCTTTCTATGTCTGCCTAGATTTCAGAGGGATTGAGGCAAAGAGGCCACGCCAAGCTCTTCACAGAACAGAGCCCTCCGCAGCACCCTGCCCTGTCCCTTCCATTCACCTCCTTTTGCTATCAGCACCAGAAGTGTGGGTCTGCATGCACAGCTACAAAGGTCACCCTGGGATCGCACCCACATCAACTGCGGTTCAACTGATGCAT